TGGCATCGTCTTTCGGCCCAACCCTAATTGCATATATCCTGCAATGTGACTGTTGAGAATGATCACATTGCTAGTCGCAATCTTATTTTTTTTTCTTGCAGCCCTACACTAAGGCCGTACTCACACTAGGTACAGTTGCCTTGAACCGGGCCAAAGCACGCTTGTCCCCCCTCCCGTCTCCCCCAACGGCCCGCGCTCACACCACAAACAGGCCTCGGCACGCTTACGTCATCGCTGCTGCGCTGTTCAGTGAGAAGCGCTCTCTCACTCAGCAGCACAGTGGAGATTTCTCTAGTTATATCGTTTTAGTCGGTTTGATATGCAGTAACAAGCAGTCAAATATTTCGCCAAACAGTCCTTAGGGATGCGGGGACACGAAGTCAGATATTTCACCGAACAGATCCGCCACTTTTGGCGCTCATAAACAATCATAAAGCTCTCGTGCAGCAGGAATGAGGAGGTCTGCTGAAGGCGCGCAGATGTCGTGTTGTGAGAAGTTCTTGTCTTTAATAATCTACAGCAGTTTGCGTTCACTGAACAGTAAGAATGATTAATTAATCCATATGAAACAGCCCCTTAAAAGTCACGTCTCGCTTTCAGTTTCGGGCTTTGGCGCGTTTTGCACTCACACACAAGCGTACCGTGCCAAAGCCCAAGTGAACCGCGCTCAGGCACACCTCTTCCAACCGGGCCAGGGACGGCCAAGTGAACCGTGCTTAAGCCCGATTCAGCGCACTCACACTTCTCAAATGATCCGGTAAACGGGCCTGGGCACGGTACGGATGGCATAGTGCGAGTAGGCCCCAAGGGTGCTTTCACACCTGCCTTATTTAGTTCGGTTGAATCGCACTAGAGTTCGTTTTTCCTCTTGGTGCGGTTTGTTTGGGCAGGTGTGAATATAGCAATTGTATTAGAGTGCGCACCAAAAAAGCGTACTGAGACCTTCTTGAAGATGTGGTCTCGGTACACTTCCAAATGAACCCTGGAGTGTATCGTTTGTGGCGAGAATATGATCCGAACTAAAACAGAGCCAACCGCAAAAAGTACTCCATCTTTTTGGACTAATCCAGCTGCCAAAGGCCGATGCGCTGTGCATTATGGAATGTGGACGAAAAATATTTGTTGACAGCGCTTTACCAACAATTTTAAACAGAGAGAGTTGGGGAACAACATTACCTGATGGAACGTTGGTAATATTCCCGGAAGATGACCATGTCACAGTTTAGCTAAATTAATTCACACCTCCCCCTGAAGTGGCGTGCGATGCAGCTTCGCCATTTTCTATGCATTAAAACATTCTTTTTCAGTCGCAGCCGCACTTCATTCTCGTAATGTACAGTTTGACTATAGCGATGTATAAAAACTATATATTATACTATGAGCTCGCACACAATCAGTCAGCGCAGTCGTACCTCCATAGTCAAAAGCGACATTTTGTGTCTGCCAGTTTATTTACTTGCAGGAGTTTCATTGGCATTTTCATGTTAATTCTGACTAATCGAGGTGTTGTTTTTATAGTAGTATTAGTAGTAGTAGTCGTTGTCAGTGTAGTAATATCAGAAGTAATAGATGTTGTCTTTGTAGATGTTGTAGTAGCAGTGATTGCTGTAGTAGTATCAGTAGTAGACGTTGTAATATCAGTAGTAGCAGATGTAGTAGATGCTGTAGTTGACGACATTGTAGTAGTATTAGTAGTAGTAGTAGACAATGTAGTATCAGTAGTAGTAGATGTTGTAGTAGAAGCTGTAGTTGTAGACATTGTTGTAGTAGTATCAGTAGTAGAAGATGCTGTAGTAGTATCGGTATTAGTAGTCATTGTTGTAGAAGTATCAGTAGTAGTAGTAGTAGACATTGTAGTAGTAGTAGTCGTGGTTGTGGTAGTAGCAACAGTAATAGTTGTATTATTATTATACTTTTGTTGTTTTCGTTGATGTTTCATTTTCTTTTTATTTGTATGATCCAAATTTGTGTACCTTTTTGCATATTCTAATAATAATTTAAAAAAAGGCTGACCAATCGAAAAGCAGTTTAGAAAATATGTTCAACAACACCTGGCCAATGAGTGATGTGGATTTTGTCACATGACTGCATTTTGGTTATTTTCAACTGGTTCGAACCAAAGAATTCAGTGTGGTATGAAAAGGACCCACAGAAGGCAGAAAATGCTACAATGTATCATTTATTGCCCTTGGTCCGGACCCAATGAAGAGAACTACAGATGTGAAAGCACCCTAAAATATGATGGTGATTATATTTTTATGTGATCTGTTGAGATAAACCGCTACGGTTTTAAGAACACCAGAACAGAATGCTACAGGTGAGAGCTTTGTCAACACATAAATAATCTCCCCATATTTCTGCTGACAAATTAGAGCAGAGATGAGGCATAATCAGAACAGTTTGATAATTGTGCTTCCTTATGTAACTAAGCAAAAAGTTTGGAAGTTCTCTTTAGACGTCTTTTATCTAGACTCCTAATTAGATAGTCAAATAGGGACAGTCTGTCTTCGCTTAGAAACTGCCCTGATTCAGCTCTTACTTAAATGAGAAAATGAGGAAAGAAAGAGAGTTCCGCAAAACAAACAAGGTCAGAGCTCAAGCAAATGTCATTATCAGACTAGCGGTTTTGAACATAAAACTCCTCTGATGTAGCTCTCCTACATAAAGGCGTGTGTGTGTGGGTCATGAGTGCATGGATGAAGTGCCAGCGCGAATAAGTGTTATGAGCTCGGCAGCTCATCTACCCCTGTGACTCATTAAATGGGCTCCTCTCTGATCAGATCTAAAAGAAGGATGCGAAGCATTGCAAAGACGTGACCTAAAATAAGACTGTATTGATTATCTATTCTATGAAAATGGTATTCTGAGAACAGTACATGAGTGACCTGAATGCACTGTAATGTGTGGGAAGAAAGAGGAAGCATGTGTGCAAGAATGACTGGGAAAAGGGGGTGTTAAACTACAGTACAGACATTGCACAATTTTTTTTTTCACAAAAAAAAAAAAAACATCAACATTTTACAAACAGAATATTTAAACTGGAAATGTTGGCATCGAACTGCCTTAACACTGCACAAGAAAATATCCACTGAATGTAAACATCTTGGATAAATGAATACAATCCAACTGTATTTCAATGAATGTCAAATAATGACCCTTGACAGTGTTAATTTTGTAAATTCAAGGGGACATACCAAATATATATGTATAGAATTTACTTGAATTTACTAGATTTGTATACAAGAACTGTATACAATTAATCTAAACTGAATTAAGGCAAGTCATTATCTACAGATTAATTTTAATAAATAAATAAATACTTTTATTTTGAAATACACAAGATACAGTACATCATCTAAGAATCATCTATAAGAATGTCCATAACTGTGTTTAGGTCTAATAGAAATAAATCGACAGATAAAGTTAGACTACTACTGTTTAGAAGACTATATTAACTTGAGAAAATATCCTCTGCAATTTCTCAGTTCGACACGCCTAATCTCATGGGGTCCAGATGAGTGGCCTGGCTTTTGGACAACATTAAGGGGCGGAAGTGCATTTTCGGGAAAAAGGAACGAGAAAACAAGTAAAGAATAGTAAATTGTGGGCCACTACTTTCAGAAACAAACACTTGAATTGGTGTATGGCAACGCCAATCCCTGAAAACAAACAAACAAACAAATTAATGTTTTTAACAGTTGATGAATGCCCCGAAATTGGGCAAAATAAATGTGTTTAAGTCCTCTGGATGTTTAAGGGGATTACATGTGAAATGCGTTCTTTAAAACAGAACATACGATCATTTAGACAACTTAATGTGACTGCTTATAAAACGGGTTAAGACATGGTGATCACATAAAGATACTAATACTTTCTATTGAGGTAAAGTTGGTTTTATAGTCGCACAATCTTTCATGTAACTGTCTCTAATGTTTGCCATGCTACTTTGAATATTCTGTCTGAAATGGCATGCAAGTATGACTTCAAAACATCATTAGCACTATTTATTTGACTGTGAACAATGTTGAACTTTCATAGTTATTGGCTGCTAATATGGTTTAGAATTAACAAAGAATACAATTCTGAAATTATGTTATTAAGGAGAATGTCTGAATATCTGAACATAACACCAACTTTACCTCAATATACTTTTCTTTAACATACCTAAGATTTTGATGGTGGATAACTACAGTACATAACTACGACCATTGAGGTAAAGTTGGTGTTATATTCACACATTTGGACTACTGAATAATATAATAAAAAAAAGGATTCTTTGCAAATACTTAATTGTAAAATTAGATTAGCATTCAGCAACTATTAAAGTACAGCATTGTTCACAACCAACTGAATAGTACTAATTTTGTTTTGAAGTCATGTTCACATGGGACTTCAGTCAAATATTCAAAGTACCATGGCAAACAATACAGGGAGTGTGTTATAAGTTGTCACTGAACGAATGTGTGAATATAAAACAGACTTAACCTCAATACTACACCCCAAGTGATATCAGTAAGCTACAAACTCCGTGCTGCTGAGAAAGATAAGAAACGTGAACCATCCGAAAGCTCGAATGTAGATCCGGTAAACTCTGCGTATTCATGTTAAATGTATGTAAATATCGCCAGATACTGCATGTATGCTGTTTCCCTAAATTAATCAAGTCTAGCGACACATTCAGTTCCTAACAGCTTACATAAAAGGGTCTAACGTATGCCATCACCAGAGTTTGGGGAATTGATAGTCAGGTTTCGAGTGAGCCGAGCAACGTGGAGCGAAATGAGCGAGCGGGCGCGCGCGCACGGGAAAGACACACGGGAGGATGTTGGAATGTTGAACATGGGTAGAGGAGAACATGCTAAACCGGCGGTGACATCACTCGCATTCCGCTACATGAAATCACACATAAAGAAGCAAGAAACTAGGCGTGCTAAAAAGCGCAGATCGTGGTGCATTGCATTCCAGAGGACGATGTGTTCTGGTGAATCGGGTTTACTTACCTTTTATTATTGTGTATGTTACTTCGCAGCCGTCTTTTGTCTGCAAAAGAAGGCTGTTAAAGCTGTTATACTCGCTACTGTCCCGCATACGCTCAGTCCTGGCAGATAAAACACGAGCGACGGGGCAGAAGTACTCGTTCCCGAGGTTGGCTTTTATAAAGCAGGCGAACGGCTGAATCTCGCGTCATTCTAGTCGGATGGAAAAGCAGCATAATCCAACGCCAATCTCCGGTCCACCGAGCCAGTACTCCTGCTTGACAAGTCGAGCAAAGGCGTGAAGAAGAGGCCGATAATGCGCGCTCGCGGCGGGTTGAGACTGTAGGGAGACGCAGGACGAGAACGTACTTCCGACGGATGGGGGACAGACGAGCGTGCTGGCCAACCAATCAGATTGCAAGTTGAGAGAGCGTTGCCTCCGTTGCCACCCTGAAAACGTGGAGACTCGAGATAATGCATGAGTGCCAAGGGATGAATGATTAATGATTATAGTCAATCAGACAAAGTAGCCATCTGTTGCCTTTAACAGCCCAGTGTGTGTATGTGTGTGTGTTGCTTATTAACGGGAGGGTCATCCATAATGTTATTAAATCTCTAAAATAACAATAGTCTATCGCAGTTAGTCTAATTATGTATAAAATAAAAATGAATCAGAAATTAATAGCAGGCTAACAATAAATTGCAGAAAATGTTGAAGGTGAAGATCTGTTTGATGATTTAGAATGTAGTGTGACGTTTTAAACCACACACGCATGCACACACACAAACACACACCTTGTGTTGTGTGGAACAAGTGTTTAGAGGTGGGAAAATAGAATACACAGTGTGTCACACACTCTGTTAAAAGACTCATGTCAATGTGTTATGGTTATTTGTGAATAGGATGCATAAAATAAGACAAACTCCACCAGTTTGCTGTTTAACATGAAATCCAGTTGCAATGTGGTAGGTAGAAATAACTAAAGCGATTAACACTACAATATTCTATCTATTATCGCAAATGAATTTCATGTTATACAACATTCTGTACTGGAATTATATATATATATATATATATATATATATATATATATATATATATATATATATATATATATATATATATATATATATTTATACAACAGTTCTGTCTGGTTCTCAAATCTGATTGGCTGTTAGCCGCGATATTCTGCAATATCAGAACTCCTACAGCCTCTTTACCCTTTGTGTATTACTCCGCCCACATACAGCCAGCAAAAAGCAGACACTACAGATCTAAAGTTTAAAAGATGCACGCTCAACTGTTTAACTGTCAGTTTATGAATTGAATTCGGAAGAAAGTAGTTCCTCATACAAAAGGGTTTTTGAGACTCTCCATGTTTGATTTTGTTTTTATATACACAATTATGCCGTCAAACTGTTGTATAAACGCAATATCACACTCGTAGCAGTGCGATATGGCTGTATATCGCACTTGTGGGGGCACTAAGGCAACGCACGCCTCCCACCAGTGCCGATATACAGCCATATCGCACTGCTACGAGTGTGATATTGCTCATATATATATATATATATATATTTCTATTGTACATGTTTTAAACAACGTTAAATAAATTAGCTGGAAAATGTTTTTTGTTTTTTTTATACAATTCAAGCACACAGCTGAATGTGTTATGCTTTTGGTCATGAGTTTAAGTTTGTTCAGAACAATCTTTCATGTGTCTATTTATGTCCAGACAAAGAAACACTGTGCCCAGACATCTGATTTCTACGGGCAGTTGCCGACAATGATTTGCACGGACTATATGAACATAGACACTGACATTTTGGGGGAGGAATGAAGTAAGCTTTAAGACCCTCAAAAAGCCGTAAATGGCTGCTTCTATTCTTGCAACACAGAGCCTACACACTCATAAACCCCACACTATCAGTGTTTGAAAGGGGCATTCATTTTCCTCCTACTGGTGATGTCATCATTTTGGAGTCACACCACACGCTAGACTTGTGTGAGGCCATATAATGTGAACTAGAACATCTTTGACTAATGTCATCGCAAGCTGAGAATCAGCCTCAGGGAAAAGTCCTGATGTTGAAACAACATCACCATTCATCCTTCAGTAGACATCACTCATCTAATTATTGTGTCTCAAACAAAAGGACACACAGCTCGAAATGAGTTGCATTAAATGGAGTGCTTTTTTAAGTGTACACCATCCTTTACCATTTTAAGAACATGTGAAATATGTTTTATCATACAGTATGCATTTATTCATATAAAGATATAATAACTGATGGTGTGATTCCACATAATTGTGCACTTAGTAATTTATCAAAAACCAAAAAGAATAATTTATATACAGTTGAAGTCAGAATGATTAACCCCCCTGAATTATTAGTCCCGTTTATTTTTCCTCCAATTTTTGCTTAACGGAGAGATGTTTTCAACACATTTTTAAACATAATAATAATTTTAATAACTCATTTCTAATAACTGTTTTATTTTATCTTAATAAAAATAATATTTTACTAGGCTTAACTAGGTTAATTAGGTTAACTAGGCAGGTTAGGGTAATTAGGCAAGTTATTGTATAACGATGGTTTGTTCTGTAGACTATCGAATGAAATATAGCTCAAAGGGGCTAATAATTTTGTCCTTAAAATGGAGCTTAAAAAATTATTAACAGCTTTTATTCTAGCCGAAATAAAACAAACAAGACTTTTCCAGAAGAAAAAATATTATCTGGTACTGTGAAAATTCCCTTGCTCTGTTAAACATCATTTGGGAAATATTTAAAAAAGAAAAAAAACAAAAACAAAGGGGGGCTAATAATTCTGACTTCAACTGCACACACACACACACGCACGCACGCACGCACGCACGCACGCACGCACGCACGCACACACACACACACACACACACACACACACACACACACACACACACACACACACACACACACATATATATATATATATATATATATATATATATATATATATATATATATATAAGTGAATAGTAAAAAGCTTTAAACATTAGAGTAGTTGTGCTTTACATGTTGTTGTGTTACAAGATAATATTAGTTAAAATATTTGTATTAAAGCATGCAGAAATAATGGTGTTTATTTTTAAACAATATTTGAAAAATATATTGAATCTAGTCACATTTAACACTATATCAAGATGCATTTTTTTGTCTATAATAGTTTTACATAATGTATTTGATTTATTTTGTAGCCTTGAGATTACGTATGTACTGAATTATGCTCTTATTAACATATTAATCATGCAACAAATGCAAAAAAGTGCTGACAATTTTGAAAGTACAGTAAAGTATTAAGATGCCAATATTTATCAGCCAATACTCCTGTAAAGACACTGCCATCTACTGGATTTCACGGCTTGCATAATATAATTAAATCTTAATCGTTATTAGTTGTTAAAATGACGAAATAAAGCTCAGCAGTCTTATTTTATAAAACATTTTTGCTAAATAGTCTTTTTTTTTCTATTTTAGAAGACAAAGGCAAGAGATGAATAGAGACGAGTTTATAAAACATGCTTTTAAAATGTATGTGCTTTCAAGCGCCATTTCCCCGGCACTTTTAATATTAAATGAATGGTGGAACAGACAGTGCGAATTAGTAGGCTACTATTTTTTCATTAATTATTTTCTATCATCATATGACCCACTAGGCTTGGCGTTGAAATGGAAATTCCAACCACGAGATGTCGCTTTTGCTTGACTAATGATTTTGAAAAAGTGGATCTCTAATGTATTACATTACCAAGTACCGTTGTCCACAGCTCTGTGTCTGTGTCCGAAGCCTTTCTTCAGATCAAGTATTTCAGTGTTATTTTTTTTAACTCACATCCTACTGTAGATTTAATTACATGTACATAGAAAATGGTATATAAATTAAGTTTTTTTGTCTTTTCTTTTTGCAACTACACACTAACATCAACATGTTTGCATAATTTGCTCAAAACAATCAACTTTTTTTGTTTTATTAGAGTATTAACTCGAGTTTTCTAGAATAAAATTAGTGGAGCATTTGTAGATCATTTACAGTGCAGCTGGAGTCATAGTACAGCACTGAAACATCTGAGGATCACACCCTAACGAATTCCAATGTGTTTACAAACCAGCCTTTCCGAATATTCACAAATTATAGGCTTTTAGGCTAAAATTGTATTAAGATATAGTGATTAAGAAACAAACGGCGTTCACGCGGTCTGTAGTCGTCTTATCTGCGTTTTATGCCTTTGGGCAAGGTGCATTATTCACATATGGTCTCCATGTTCCTTCTTCATCTTTAAGCCTGTGTATGATGCTTGACCAGAGAGTAGCAGCAGCGTCGGGTCCAACAGGGCCGCTCCAGTACCGCACTTACTCAGCCCTCTCCGCGCACTAACTGACGTGTTTTGCGCATTTCCTGGACCAGCCTTCAGACACATACAGTCGGGAGAAAAAGAGGCAGGTCTGCAGGAAACTGAGTACCGACGGACAAACAAGGATCCTGGGAGAAGCAAGTGAGAACGGAACCCTTGAAAACACTCTTTCTCCTGTCAGGAGCGCATCGAAAGACGCTTTTGCGGAGATAACTTTCCTCCCAATGCGCGGAGGAGACACGTCCAGCGTTCCAGCCAGTCGATGGAACGGGCAGCTCACCCAGAGGAGATCCAGCATATATTTCTGGCATGTTTTGAGGTGTGGAATGCTGGTCAAGTCGCTGCTGATACGCTGTAGCTCTGTCTTTTCGCTCCAACTTGGATTGCTGACTGCATGCAGGGTGTTTGGACAGCTTCAAGATCACATGCAGGTTGTCCGTAGGTCATAGCAACAGATCCCCTCTACCTTCTACACACTGCATGAAGATCCACGCGGACGAGGAAGGGCATTTCCCGCTATCTCATAAATAAAAACAATCTTGAAAACACACCGGTGGACCGTGACATACACTGGTTAAATAATTAACCAGGCGCTGAAGTGGAATATTGTTACTAAAGCTCTCGAAAGTGGCCATGGTGGTTTTTAACGGTCTGCTGAAAATAAAAATCTGCGAGGCTTTGGACCTAAAGCCCACAGCTTGGTCTTTGAGACACGCCGTCGGACCTAAGACTCAAACCTTTCTGCTAGACACGTACATCGCCCTCAACGTAGACGACTTTCGCGTGGGTCAGACTTCGACCAAGCAGAAGACCAACAGTCCCGCCTGGCACGATGAGTTAGTGACGGAGGTGCACGATGGACGGAAGATTGAGCTGTCGGTGTTTCATGATGCACCGATTGGCTACGACGACTTTGTGGCCAACTGCACCATTCAGTTCGAGGAACTGCTGCATAACGGCAGCAAACACTTCGAGGACTGGGTAATGTCATTTATTGTTTATTTAGTGCCCCAAAGCTGTTAGAAATAGCTTGCTGTGATTGGAAATAATTGGTCTTTCCTGGTCATTATTTGCCATAATATCCCACAAACCAGCAGAGCTACAACCACTATAGAATACATAAATCCTTCAAGGGACTTTGTTACAGCTAATCACAATGTCTGCTAAGATCAGAAATTGTTCATGTTCCATAACAGTCAATG